CCCAAATTCTGCGAAATTTCTGCTGACTTATTCCACCATCTGCTTGACCAACTATCCTTCATCTAACAAAATCTGACAATTCGAGAGAACCTTGAGTTCTAGACATGTTGTAGCACAATATAATTAGTGTACGGACAATTTTCATTTACATAGTGCTCTGTGAACACAAATTAGTTAGCATAAATCAGTTAAATGAAGAAAAATTAGGTGTCTATTTACTTGTGACCACTCAGTGTATATAGCCCATTATGTTGCTTTGCGCTTAACTACAAACAAACATTTGCTTTCATAGCTAATATACGAGCTTAAGTCTTTGATCAGTCAAAATGTCGTAAACAACTAATTACATATTATCATTATATTTAGTATTAGATTAATACACATCTGTTACGGTCTGTATGAAGAAACTTACTTCAGTTTTCTGTCTAATCCTTGTCCAATCAGAAATTATTAAATCTCCAATTTATTTAACTAACGTTAACTAAGTGAGAAAAATATAAAACTGGGTAATTTTTAATATATAAGTAATCGTTTAGAAAAATATTTACTTTTCTTATGGTACTTATATAGCCAGTAACAATAAATGTTGTGCACGAGAAATTTTGCTTATATGTAACATCAAACGGACAAAAGTATTTATTTATTTTTCCATGAATCTATGGGCGCCCCTGGTGTTGGAAATCGTGATGAGTAATACCACATGGTTTGCGCGGGTTGGTTAGTTCAGAGTTTGTAGCTGATTTTTGTAACAAACGAATAATTCCTAATATTATTAGTAATAACAAAGTTTATAATATTTTTACCAATAGTTTTAGACACCTCTGAGTAAAAAGAAAAACCAATGGACTTATATTTATCTTTCGGAATTTTAGTATCTGTTTCTTTTTCCATATTTTTGGTGTATTCAAGATTAAGGTAAGCCTAATTTAATGGAAGGGATTTAGGCCTAGTGTTTGGTTAATTGTAAGACTTGAAAATCAAGACTCGGTGAGCGGGGTACTTAATCAAAGAAAAGAAACAACTTGTAAACGTTATGTACAAAAGTGCGTGTTGTAATTCAATGATGATGCCTTGGAAATTTCGCATTTTCTTATTCGTTCCTTTTCAGTGATTAAGCAGACTCCCTCAGACTCGAACTTCAAAGAGAAACTTTCAATTTCAATCTCATTATTTGTAACCGAAGATTGAACTTTAGTAAAAGTTAAGTCTAAAGTAAAAGATTAAAAGCATGAGTAACTTGGTGTTCAGTATTCGTGCTGACGTTATTTTATTTCATTACTGCATAATTTACGATGCTGTTTAGTCTAACACCGAATTAGATTCTGAGGATTTACTTTTAATTTTATTAATATCATTTAGGCATTCGATTCATCTACCTCAGCTTTTGGAATGATACACACAGTGTATTGAGTTACATGATTTCGTGATATTTACTGTTATTTCTTTTGGCTTTTAAATTTTAAGTGAGTTATGTGGAAAGTTACTGTAGTAAAATTATAAAACTTTAGGTGAATATTTTTTATGAATCAACTTTATGTTATATTGTAAAGTAAATTCAACATTGGAATAATGAATGATTGGAAGCTGTTATTATATGACAAAAATCTATAATAATTTCATATTATTAATGCTGTGATGTATTTGTTACTAATTTACACTATAATGTAAAGATTCAACTACATTTTTTTATAGTATTACTCTTCCACCTACACTGTAAAAATTACTATATGAAATTTTTTGTAGCTTGGCAGTGGTAATCAGTGTGGACCATGAAAGGGGGTGTAAATTACAGTAGTAATGGGCAATAGGAGATGTTAAAGTTAAATCCTTGCTGCACCATTACAAATCCAGTTTCAATCTCACGAGTGGATGAGAATGGCAACCCATTCCACCTGAGTTGAGTAGACTGGAAAAAGTGGGGTAAAGTGTCTAGCTCAAAGACACTAGCATGGTGCAGGTCAGCCTCGAACTTGCAACCATCAGACTGAGTCCTAAGCACGAAGCCACTGAGCCATACTACCTCATAGGAGATGAGGTCCAATAAAAAATGCGAAGTCATTTGAGTTAAGTGAATATCTGCTTATTAAACTAAGTACTGCTAGAATTTTTTTTATTAACCTTTCTGGATTGAAAACCATTTTATGTGATCAACTAAAATTCTGCAGTAAACAACAAGAAAACTTGGTCCAAAAATAATTTAAAGCTAACAATGTTTTGTCAAAATCTAAAATTATTTTTTGATTTTGCAGACGAAATGAAAGTGACTTAACATATGGTTAATAGTGGACCATTCGGTCCTCCACAGCTGCCCTCACTCACCCACTTTTAAGAAAAGTTAACCCTTTGAATTTAATAAAGTCATTGATTCTCCCCTTTATTTAATTCATGTAAAGTGCCAACCTCCATTTAAGAAGGTTATTCTTTCATAACAACTTCAAGTCTATCGTTTAAACTTTTTGACTGAAAAACTTTACATGTACCTGTTCATTCTAAATATAATATATGGACAAAAAAAAGGAATCATTTGATCCTTCAAGGTTGTCATTGTACAACCACCTTCGATAAGATGCTACCATCCACTATTTCCAATGGCTACTCATTTCGTAAACCAATCACTGTTAGAAAATTATTTTAAATAGGGCCTTTTCTGTATTTTCAAAATATTAAAATTTTGTTCTCTCATCCTGTTGTCTTTATGACTCAGCACAAAGAAATCAGTGGCTGTTATCCTATCAGTCCTCTCGGTAATCCTGTAAACTTCAATAAGATGATATCTTTATTTCTCAAAAGAAAATGAGATCATAACCGATCCCGATAAGACCACTTCCATCCGTGGAATTATCCTAGACTAGCAACCCTTCTCTGAACTCTTTTCAGTAAGTCAGTATCCTTTTTTTTTTTAAACTGTACACAAGTGAAATAAAATCATAAAACAGAGGGTTAGTGTGTTTCAAAAGGTTAGTGACCAGTCCCAGTTTAAATAAGTTAGGGATTGTAGTAATTTGATTCGTAATGTATTGTCTGGAAATTGGAGAAATGAGGGTTTTATTTGTTGGATAAATATTGTGTATCAGTAAAAAGTGGCTTTCTGTTTGACGCAACACAAAAGGTTTTTTCAGGTTGGATTATAATTACGAAAAATTTTCATTTGGGTACAGTTGAAAACAGTGGTTCCCAGACGTTCAGTCAGAGGCTCCCTTGATGTGAATAAAAAAAGTGAGACCCCCCAACCTATAAAAATGCTGTAAAATGTCCCTCCCCCAATATTTTAGTATGGTGATTGAAAAACAGTTCCGTAGTAAAAACAACAGCATCTTTCAACATTATTATTTAATTAATTCAACATAACTTTTATTGGCTTATTGTTTATTTAGAATTAAAATTAATTCAGCATCATTGTTTTTGGCAACATAAAAAGCTTCGTGGCTTCCACTTTGGGAAACACTTGTCTAAAAGACAAAAATTAGTGGCATACCTTACGTTGTGTGCATAATACCAGTAATGATTTTATATTTGGTTTAGTGATATAATAGTTGTTTCATTCAGAACTTAACTTTTATAAATCTCTGAAACAAAAATTAAATTACGTTAAATGCATTGAAAATTTATAATTAAAATAACTTTGTTACTCAAATTTCCATAAAATAAAAAGATATTGTACACGTTGCAATCTAATAAATTCACTTTACATAAATATGTTTTTTTTTTTCAGGCCAAAGTTCCCTGTGCGAGTGTACTGTTGGTTTTGTGGGGAAAAACATGTCGTTCCTTTTGGTAACCGCAACTGCTGGGACTGTCCACACTGTGATCAGTATAATGGTTTCTCTGAGGTAATCAGTACAAGAATATAATAAAATAGTTTATCTAGAATTTACAGTGATGGGGTGTGTGTGTATATATATTTTTCTAATTTAACATCATTTTTTAATGTGCTAATAAATTGTTTGCAAATGCTGGTAATTCATCTGAGTAATTTTGTAGTGTATATCACAGATAAAATTTTGGTTGTATGCGTAATAACTATCTAAAGCATAAGCACCTACAATAAAACACGTTTTTGTTATTTGAAATATGTGTATGTATTCGATGTGATTTGAAAATGGGAGACAGAATACTTTTAGTGTTATTACTGCTTAAAATCATGTTGCTAATTTAAGCCCTGTTTTTACACATTATAAAACAAATAATACAGCACACTGACATCATAGAGATGTAATATTCAACTATCTGCTAGAGCTAGGCTATGAATGAATAATATCTGGTAGGTAGGTTATTGGGTTGGCCTGATAATTGTAAGCAAGTTTCATATGAGTAGTTGACTATTTTGCAAGTCCTACTTAAACCTTGCATGGTGAGGTGTGCTTCATAGGTCGCTAGGCAACGTCAAGTCTTTTTTTTTTCAAACTATTCTCTAACTTGTAATGGAAATAGTTTGTTTCAGAGTTGTACTGTATTATAGTTGTTCTTCATTGTTAACAGAATGTCAAGGGATATGCCTTCGAATATTTTATTATTTTCATAAGTGCTTTACATAAAATTTATTTTAAAGCATACTGATAACAATCAGACAAAATAATTTCTATTTTGAACAGTTTTTTCAAGTATAAACTGTTTCACTGTGTACAATTTATTCTCAGTTTGTTAAGTATGAACACAGTTGATAGAATTTCATTTTGAAATGGTTGATGTGTTGGTTAATTAAAAACGTTACAAGTTTTTGGAACAGACTGGAGATTACAACAAACCAATTCCTGCTCAATACGACGAGAGTCTTAACTTTCCTGTGACTGGTTCTGTAGTAGAAGGCTATGAAGAAAAATACAAGCAGCCATTAATAAATGGATTGTGCAAGGAATGTAACCAGAACCAGACCATGAAAATTCGACTTTTGGCAGATTTTGTTCCATTAAACAAGGTAAGGTTTGAGCTTGACAGGTAAACTGTCGTATATAAAATTACTGGAAATTAGAATTTGATTTTATTTACTGTAAAAAGGTAGTCAGTGTATGCATATTTAACTTAACAGTTCCTCTGGACTTTCATAATTATGGAAAATATGTAAATTGTATTAAATGCTTATTCAGCTACGGCATGGTTTTACAGAATGTTTTCATGGGGGGTAGATATTTACTATAGAAAAAAATTACCTGTAATTTTATAACATTATAATATTGAAATAGATAAATAAAAATATGTATAGTATCTACCATCAAATAACATTAATGGTTTAGATAACTGTAAAAAAAATAATTGGTTATTGTTAATGTATAATACAGTTTAAATTCTTTCATTCCAAAAGTGTCATTTGATTTTGTTTTATATAAAACCTTTAAAAGGCCTCTCGGGGCTGCACATGTATTTATTTTTTAACTCTTTAGAACGTGTGTCTGACTAGGTTACCTTTTTGACCGATGTAATTTGAATTTGTTCAAATTATAAAATTTTTTTTTTTCACTAATTGTATTGTCGAAAGTAAGTTCAACCGTAAAAGCAGAAATAATTTTGAATTGTGGGGGAGAAAATACCATAATATGACACTATTGATAATTCTAACCCTCTTTCAATACTTTCTAACTCAAAAGATATTTTAGAATCAATATTTTCTAACATTAATGTAATCAGCAAAAAAAAAAATAAGTATTCCAATTTTAATTTTTTCAAAGTTATGAGAATTCTTGCTTGTAAACATTTATCAATCTTATAATTTTTCTATCCATCCCAAAGCAGACATTTAAATTTGTTAACAACTTACATCCACAGCCTATTTCCAATGTGATTTCTCTTTCACTGATTTTATTGCTACATCCTTAGTTTTCACTCGTTTATGATGTGATCTGCACACACACACTCTTAAAGCAATGTTTCCACTCGTTTATGATGTTACAGCACATGATCTGCACACACACTCTCTTAAAGCAATGTTTCCACTCGTTTATGATGTTACAGCATGTGATCTGCACACACTCTCTCTTAAAGCAATGTTTCCACTCGTTTATGATGTTACAGCATGTGATCTGCACACACTCTCTCTTAAAGCAATGTTTAAATGTAATTAGATAGAGCATATAAGAATATTTACATCAGTATAGATTAAATTTATAGTTGTGTGGGAAGTTACTAGTTGGAGCTCCTGTAGGTTAGAATAAAGTAACATAGAGGAAGTTTTGAAGACGTGTGTAAATTTTTTGATAGTTTCAATACGTATGGTATTAAAAAAGCTCTTACTCAGGTGCTTACATAAGTAATTTTTCAATTTATCTTAATTAGACAGAGAATGTGTTTGAAGAAATTTGTGATATAGTCAGACAATCAAAAGTTTGTCAGATGACATCCAATGTTCAACTGTTACATGGTACCGAGATGATCTTTGATATTTGTTTATCAGTGGTCGTGATCATCCACTTCTACGAGAGTATTTGTTTCATGTCTTCTATACTGATTGCCAATTCATGTTCTTCTTCCAAAGTTTTGTTTTGATCAAGAAGTGGAAGCGTACCAGAGGCACCTGGAAAAAGTTTACAAGCTTTGTTGGCAGTGTGAGGTTCATGTACAGAAGAAACTCTCTCAACAAGATGCAGAATTGAGGCCTAAAATTCCTCCTCATCTTTTAAACTACAGTCTTAATCAGCATACCAGACCTGCATTAAAAGTAAGTAACGCTGTCATTCTGATTTATTGTAAAAAGAAAAATTAGAAAGGTTGGTTTTTAGCATTTATCCAGAAAAATGAACAGATCTTTACTTATTCATTTTAGTTTTGTGTTGTAAATAACCTTGATAATACCCAAATATGTTTATTTTGATGGAAGAGTATGTATAAAGAGTCAACATTGATTTTGTTGTTATAATACTATGAGGTATAAAATACAAAGCAGTTGAAAGTTTTTGTTTTTAGTTTGGTATATGTAATATTCATAAAACTATATATTTTACATGAAAAAAAGGCTAAAGTTAAAACAGTTACTAGTAATATTAGTTACAAATAACTGTATGAGAATTATGGAAAGTTTAAATTGTTCTCATTTTGGAAGAGCTTTTGTCAGAAAGCATCTCTAAGCATTTATCTTTATCACAGGTCCTAACTAGGAATCATATCCCCTTTGGTGTCCATGTGTTAGCAGTAATTAATTTCAGTTCTGCTTTGCTTCTTCTTGTTTCTGCTGTATTTGAACTACAAGAAGACCGGGAATATCGCCTTTTTCCAATATCATGGCTCATGGTTTCCAGACTGCCTACATCATCTTTTCTTACTGTTGTTGGTCTCCTGGTGGCAGTTGGAGGAACTTTATGGGCTGGAAAACACAGGTGTTTTTTTTTAAATATGTCTGAGAAGGTTTTAGGATATAATGTAGTCAATGATTTATCTAATCTTCATTTAATAGGCATCGTATTGTAGTTTGTTACTTTTAATATAAGTTTGATAGTAACTAACAATTATTTACCATTATTTCTGTGTTATGGCCCGTGTGCAAGATAAAATTCATTTCTGTATATATATATATGATTAATTTAGAAAGTAACAAGAACTTTTTAAACGTATGTTATATTGTAGCTTGTATACAACAGAGTGTGAGGAAAATTAGTTTACAAATAACACTGATTCCATTTTTAAAGAAATTTGAAATGAGTGCATCACTTTTAGCATGAACTGGAAACCTGGTATACAGACAGTGATACACAAGAAAACAAATTTCATTGAAAGTATATAGACAAATTGGGCTAATAGTAAACAAAGCAGGTTAATAACTTGTAAATTGTATAAGTAATGAAAAATGAATCAGCTTAGATTTACAGTTTATTAATGAAAGATTTAAGAGAACTTCACATGCACAAAACACTCGTAAGATAGTTACAGCAACGTATTTGGCCCCCTTTTTCTTGAAATGAATGTTATGGATAAAACCATATCAAACTCAAATTTTAATCTCATCTATAACCTTTAAATATTAGTGTCATACGAGTATCTTGTGTTGTAGTGTGGGACATTGTAAATATTTATAAAATGTATTTTACTGTAAGTTTTTCTTATAATTCATCATTGTCTAACAGTGTCCTAGAGGATGTTGCATGCTTTTAATTGAAGATGTTTTTATCTTCCATTTTATTCCATAAAGGTTAAAAATCTTTCTCGCAGTGATAAATTTTGCACTTGTTGTTAAAATGACTGTTGTTACAGGAATAACAAATTTTCATTAAAAAACAAACAGGATGAATTGTCTTTGTAATAACTTCAGATTGTTAATTGTTTCTCTGTTGATTAAGGTTACGAACAGTTGATGCTCTCTGTTGTGCTTTTTGGGTAACTCTCCAAGGATTGTATTCCTCAGCTGTTTCTGGATTGTTTTCTGAAACAGATCTCCATCTCCTTCGACCCATGGTCATCCTGGTTACTGCCATGGTATCCTTCTCCAGTGGGATTTTCAGAGTAACCAAAAGGGTTAACCCAAAGCAAAAATGGCTGAAGTAAGTAGTGTATTACTTCGGGATGACTCTAATTGTGTGTAGAGCTGATTTTACAAATCTTTGATACATTTTTAAGAAGAAAGAGCCGGTTATAAATGTTTAGGGATTAAAAATTGTGAAATATTTATTAATAGCCATGTATAAACTCTTCGGTTCCAGTTAAGGAAATCTTTTAAGACTGACCTGTAATGAAAAAGATGAGTACTTTAAGTGTGGAATTTTAGAGATATATATTATTCCCATAAAACATTTTTGCATGTTATGATTTTAATTTCATTTTAATAGTTGAATGCTGGGTTTGTTGGTTAAGTATTTATAACAAAGCCAAGTTCAGATATATATATATATAATTATTACCAGACACACATTGTTTTCAAACTGATTTAAGCTAATTCTTGGGTTGGTTCATTGGATTTATTCTATAGTAGAGAAGGAATGTTAACCATAATTCCAAATTTACTATGTTATCTACAGAAAGTTTGACAGTCTGTTACTAATATGTACAAGTATGTTGTACATAAGTCAGATGTTTTACAAAAGTATTTATATTCAAGATGTCTTTATATTGGTGATGTCAGACTGACAAAGTCGTAGGTAAGGCGATAACCGTGTGAAGAATATAAATACTTTCGTCTCTTGCACATTTTGTATATTGACTTTGCATAACCTCTGAAATGCTTAACTACAGTTTTTCCAGCATCCCTGCATATTGTATCTCGTACTTACTCTGCCGTGAAGTATCGTTAAGTCAGCAAAGTAAAATTAGTAGTTGATAATACTGAAGAAATGTACATAATACCATGCTGAATGGTACTCTGTAAAAGGTCATGGTATGTACACTTGACCCCCCACCTACTCGCATTGTGTTAAAAAAGGAAAATGTTTTATAAAATAACATAAAACTTGTTCATTACCTTTCTGTGGTTGTAGTAACAATACTATATTGTATTTAATGCCTGATTGAATAAACCATTTGTTAGTTATTTGGGCAAACTCACTCATGGCCCTCATGTATTCTAGTAACAAGCACTCAAACAAATTGTTTGATAACTCATTGTTTTTCAATAATCTTAAAGAAAGAATATTGAACAATATTAAGAATAAATAATTTTTTTTATGCTTAAAAATGAGTTTTGTGTGTATAGTTTAATATTTTTTCAAACTAATTTTGAATAGTAGTACTTTTGTTTCTTTTATAGAAAGGAATTAGATATACCTATCCATGTACAAGCATGATCTAGACAAGAATGTATGATTCTCATATTCATTATTTCAGCAAGGCAAATCAACTGACCTCGCCCAGAAGAAAAATTAAGGTTGATAATAGGTCAACATCAGTCTGTGGATATAAGAGCATGGACAACCTTTCTCTGAGTTTTGGATCTAAACAAGGTAGCCAATCGTTTACAAACAGCTCCACCTGTAGCTACGAAACTGATGGGAATGTCACTGCCCATAATGCTCTTCATTTGGAGCTAGATGCTTTACATATTCCTCACCTGCTACAAAGTTACAAGGTAATCGGCATGTTAAAAGTATGTGGTGAAGTGGATCTTTGATTATGTACTTTTACTGTCAGAGTCTCTCACTATAATCTATGTTTGTCTTAGTTGGCCGTGTCTAGCTGTTCAATACTGTAACATGCTAGATGACATCTTTGAGAATCCATATTTTTTGGTTGATGTATGAAAAGTATCTTTGATATAAGATTCAGTGTCTCTGTGTGTGTCTCGTAACTCCTAAACTGTTGGTTGCACCAACTTCTAAGTGGTACCATAAGAATCGTCTCGGTCCAGAGGTTTGCACAAAGGTAAAATTTTTTATCCCTCCTTTTTGGGAGCCCAGAAATTTTCCGAAAACAATTATGGGGATTCCCTAAAAGGAGACCCCCAAATTTGGCATTGATTTACATTAGAACACAAATAAGTAGGCCGTCTAATTACTGTTCATAACTTGGTTAAAGAAATTAAACTTACATCATAGTGGCAATGATCATTAAACTGAAAACGTGCATTATAGTGACTCTGTAAATGTAGGCTATTGGCCCATAGGTTTGGTGGTATCTGATAAAAATCATACATGCTAAGCTTGCTTCTTCTTATCTTGACTTTCCTAGATGTTTGCTTGTGAACTCTCTGGACATTTAATGAAATTATCCACACACCTTTTGGACTTTTAGTTTAATTTCAAATGTGTGAAATTGAAATTAATGATGTTAGTTCAGTATGCAAAAACAAGGCATAATTAGGCTTCACTGATTTTTTTTTTAACTCTAAAACTAAAAGAATTTTAAAAATTTAATTTTTAAGGGAAATTTGTACAATATGAAGCATTTTAGTTTGTTAGAATGTCCTTGTTGAACGGGTTAGTTTTGAACTTTATCCATGACACTAATGTAATTTCAGTACTTAAAAGATGAAAGTTTATTCCAGTGAATATGGTTTTTTGTTGATCTCCAGAAAATCTGAAGATTTGTTCTTCAAACTTTTCAAAAACAAGGAATACAAGGTTTCAAAATATTCCAATGTTTCACCATGATAATGTTGCAATATTTTGTTATTTTTTAAAAATATTATTCTGTGTGTTTGGTTTAAATTTGATGACAAGGAAATAAAAGTTTAGAGACAGCTTGAATGGGTAATGAAGAAAACCTTATTATAAATGTGCAATGTTTCGACAAGATTATGTCGTCGTCGGGTACCCATTCAAGCCTTCTCCAAACTTTCATTGTCGGTTTATGACGAACCACTGTATTTTTTATTTGTTCAAGCTTGTTTTTTATGTGCCTAGGAAGATTTTATAAAGTGTACAATGTTCTGAGTATTTATTTAGAAAAAACTGAAACAGTTCTTATTTAATCTTTCTTTATACTGTTGCCAAATTTGTATGCATGCAGTATCAGTTTTTTATAAGTAGATCTCAAGTTCCTTGAATTTTATTTTATTGCTTTAATTTCAGTCTTGAGAGTGTTTATCAAGTAAAGTATTTCAACAAGTTTTTATTGGGTTTAATTATAGCTTGTTTATGAACATGTTTTCATACGTATATATATATATATATATATTTTTTAGTTTTTCTACGTCTCCAAGACCAGTAGGCTTTTCAGCCTCAAAATCTCAAACTTCTCTTGTGAGGCCAGCTCGTTTCACTGCTAAAAGTGTCACCCAAGCTTCCTGGGTAGCCGGTGGCTATTGGTCTCTGCCTGTGCCACCTGTAAGAATGGAGCAGTTAGGTCGAGGACTTCATTTTACCAGTGCTGTGCCAAATGGGTTTGGTGGTCTTCTCACGCCTCCACCTTCTTTGTCAGGATCACAGGAAAGTTGTGCTCCAAGCCCTTCAGGTAACGGCTGTTTGCCTTGCAACTTTAGTGAATTAAAATTTATGGTTTGAAATGTTAGATAAATCATAAGTAGAAAAAAAAAAGCTTTAACTTATGGCTGGAATTTTTACAATATTTTGAATGCCAGATTAAAGTTCACGTTTTATATCCTCAAACTATAGTATAACTTATTGTAACTAAATTAATCAATATATTTTTTGATAAACATGTCCAGGAAAATTCTAAAAATAATTTGTGGAGCCTTTATATACTACTTAATTTCTTTATGCTGAGCCTACTTTCAGAAAGCTCTTGTAAAGTTTTTTTTTGAATAGTGTCAATGGTTACTGAAGGTGTCTCATGGAGATTTGAGCAATTTAAGAACTAATTCTTTTGTAGTCTTAAAAATACGTTTATATTGTTTTCTGTTTTAGCTTACTATAAAGAAGTGTTACAAGTATTTTGTCAGAGTTTTTGTCCTAAGCTAATAGTTTCCAATTAATAACCACTTTCTTGATGGAAATGGTTCGTTTATGTTAGTGCTTTTATATGTATATGGTTACATTTCCAAGATCGTAACTGTGTTTAATGTTCTGGATTTTCAAAGTTTGAGAGTAACTTACATTCCTACATTATTTCACGGCTTGTTTTAAGGTGTCAGATATAGAAGTAAATTCATCTGAATCTGCTTTTAGTGTAGAGATTCAGATGAATAACTTTGATTTTTAGGAAAAATATTCAAAAGAACACTTAAACCACTAAAATGATGGTTACAATAATGTGCAACACACAAGTGTAATCTAGCTTTTGTCGAGTTTTGTTAAAAATTAAAAAGATGGTATTCGATACCGTAGTTATTAATTATTCATCAGCAAGCAGGAACCCTCAGAGACTGACTGTAATTTGTGTTACAGATGGCAGTCAACTTATGCCAAAGCAATCATACTGATGGGTTGGTGGTTAAACCTTATACATTTAAATTGTAATTTAGTTGTATCTTGGGAACAATGGCTGGAACAGATTTAACAAACTGTGAGACAATTTGTTTTCTATAGTTATATTACTAACCATGTTTGAAATTATATAATAGAAGTAGTGAGGTTATAATCTTAGGTAATATGTAACTACAAAATATTTAAGTCGTATTAGTACTAGCTTTTGGAGCTGTTAGCTAAAAGTTTGATGTCACAATATGCAATTATTTGTTACTTGAAAATTGTCACTTTTTTTTTCTTTTTACACAAAGGATTTTCTCACTTGTGATCTAATTTTAAAAGGGTCAGTCTGTGGAGATGATTTAAAGTTTGAGTCAGTTAATGGACGACCATTATCTCGACCTCCACCAAGTGTACTCTCTTGGCCCCCTTCTGTTGCACGTGAACGGTGGCAACAACAGAACTTGTCCGAGGTCAGACGACGAAATGTCAGTAGTAAGGGAAGTTCTTCATCTGGATCTTCAAGCTTGCAAAAGACAGAATCCAATAAACCTAATAAACAGGAATGGAAAGAAAATTCTTCAACAAAACAACACTCTCTAAACTATCAAGGTAAGCTAACCGAACAATATAGTTTGGCTAGCTTACCTTGATAATCATTCAGTACATAAGAAACAAGTGAATACCACTTGTTTCTTA